CAACTCTATGATTCTGTGATTCCCACAGGGTCCTGAAACCTGCCCGCGTAGGCTTTGAACTGATCACTGAGAAGGAGCTTGCCGAGATCCAGGAGGCCTATGAGCTGGGAGGTCTTTCTGAGGTGGTGACGCGTATCCAGTGCAGCCTGGAGACCATCTGGAACGCCCAGCTTGATATTGCTGTCACTGGAGAGTCCGGTGCCGGCAAATCCACATTCGTCAATGCCTTGAGGGGCTTGGGTGATGAGGATGAGGGGGCGGCCGAGACAGGTGTGACCGAGACCACGACCCAACCCACGGCCTACTCCTACCCCGGCTACCCCAACGTCATCCTGTGGGACCTCCCAGGCATTGGCACACCCAACTTCCAAGCGGATCACTACTTGGAGGCCGTGAATTTCTCTCGCTACGATTTCTTCATCATCCTGGCCTCAGAGAGGTTTAAGGAGAACCACATCCGTTTGGCCCAGGCCATTGTAGGAGCGGGCAAGAGGTTCTACTTTGTGCGCACCAAGGTGGACAACGATCTGGAGTCCATGGCGAGGAGGAAGAACCCGCCCACCGAAGAGGAAGTCTTGGAGGAGATCAGGGACGACTGCCGCGAGAAGCTAGCCAAGGCCGGGCTCGGAGACGCCAAGGTCTTCCTCCTCAGTAGCTTTGAGATCAACAAGTTTGACTTCCAAACCTTCGAGGACACTTTGGAGCAAGAACTGCCGAGCCACAAGCGCCACGCTTTCCTGTTGTCCCTGCCCAACATCTCCTTGGCGATCATTGAGAAGAAGAGACAGCTCCTCCACCAGGAGGTTTGGAAGGTCGCCTTGGTCTCCTGTTTGGTGGCCGCCGTCCCCTTGCCGGGCTTGGCCTTCACCTGCGATGTCTCCATCTTGCTGAGGAAGCTTTCCACCTACCGCCAGGACTTCGGCCTAGACGCGGCGTCCTTGACACGGCTGGCAGAGCGCTCCGGGAAACCCTTGGAGGCGCTACGGGCTGAAGTACGTAGCACTCTAGGCCGCACCATCAACCGGGATGTGGTGGTCGGGTTGTTAGGCAAGGCCACCGGCACGGGCTTGATGGTCGCTGAGTTCCTTCTCCACCGTATCCCGATTTATGGAGCCCTGGCTGCTGGGGGTATGTCCTTCCACTCTACCTACTCCATGTTGAGCCATTGCTTGGAAGAGCTAGCTCATGATTCCCAGAGGGTCCTCTTGAAAGCCTTTGACAGTGAAGTCTGAGG